GTGCGGATACGTGACCAAACGCCTTCGACTAAGTGAGTAAAGTAAAACTAGTGATTTCAGAATAAAACATCGAAGACTTACAGAACCATTTATTTTGGGGATTTATTGACCGCTATACACTTATTGTTTGCCTCCTTTATCTACCGCGTATATTACACCAGTATAAACGGCTTAACGACACTGTCGTTCAAGAATTTTTCCAATACAGGGACTCCGAAAATAAGCTAAACAAAAATTTATTGATGAAGTAGTTTTGACGATGGCTACTGTGTTGAGGTAAACACAATCTAGTCTGACTGATCGTTGTAAAGGGGCTCGGCAGTCATAGATGCCCTGAGACTGGTGCTTTGTTTCAGTTTCAGTTTCAGTTTGGGAAGGACAGGAGGCTCGATGGCCTATGTTAGTCCTGGCAATGGTGGTCTCTCAGTTGATCCAACTTTCTTTTGAAAGAGTCGACGGATGGAGCCTCAACCACGTGCTGAGGTAGTGAATTCCACTCGTTGATGATTCGATGGGAAAGTCGATAGTCAGCTGACAAGTAATTTGTTCTCGGCTTATGAACTTTTTTGGAGTGTCCTCGTAAATTCTCTGTTTTGGAAGACAAGAAAAATGAGGGCATGTTAGGTGCAAATTTATCACTAAGCAATTTGTAGACTGTAATCAAGTCGCCTCTAGTTCTGCGATATGACAACGGGAAAAGGTTCAGCTTGGCCAGTCGAGATTCATACGGAAGCTTCGCTATTCCGGGAACCAGCTTAGTCGCCGTTCTCTGAACCTTTTCCAGAAGCTCACTGTCTTTTTTAAAGCAGGGGCTAGCCGCTTGTATGCAGTACTCAAGTTTAGGACGAACGAACACTGTATACAAAGTCAAAAACGTCTTAGTGTCGACATGACTAAAAGCCCTACGTATTGACCATAACGTTCTAAAATTTTTGGCGGCTATTGCACGGCAGTGTGCCGTAGTCTTTAAGTCTTGACTAACGATAACTCCTAAGTCATTATATGTCTGGACGACAGGTAGCTCAGTGTTATTCATCGTGTATGTATCTGTGCCTTGATGACCGATATGCATCACAACACACTTAGAAGTATTTATCGGCAACTGCCATGTTTGAGACCATTCAGATAACTTCTTCAGGTCATTTTGAAGTTCTAAGCTATCACTCTTACATCGTATCGTTCTCCATATCTTGACATCGTCAGCATATAGCAAGACCGATGATGATAGGAGACAAGGAAGGTCATTTACATACAAGAGGAATAGCACTGGCCCCAAAACTGTACCCTGGGGCACTCCACTAAGCACAGTTTCCCAGCTAGACAACTTGGAGTTCACCCTTACTCTTTGTTGACGCCCAACTAAGAAGTCTTTTATCCACATCAATAAATTCCCTCCAATCCCGACATGTCTTAACTTATATAACAGCCGGTTGTGCGGAACTTTATCAAAAGCTTTACTGAAATCAATGAAGGCGACGTCTACAGGTAGCTTTTGGTCCTTAAGAGCACCCCAGCTTTCACGAGCCACTAATAAGTTAGTGAGACAAGAATAACCTATTCTGAAGCCATGCTGCTTCTCCGAGAGGATCCGGTTTTTATCGAGATACTTAAACAGCTCCTTCCGAATAATCTTTTCTAATATTTTAACAACCACACTAGTTAGGCTAACGGGGCGGTAGTTCTCAGATTTGTGTTTCGTGCCTGTTTTGAAGACAGGACTTACTATGGCGTTTTTCCAATCTTTCGGTAAGCGACCCTGCGTAACGGATAGGTTAAAGCATGTACTTAAAGGGTTCGCAACGAAGTTAGATAATTCCTTCAGTAGCCTAGGATGTAATTCATCGGGCCCCGTGGATTTACCTATGTCAAGCTTATTTAGCAGACCAAAGACATCGAGTTCTTTAATGGTCACGCTATCCAGTGTATGTATGGGGGGATCTGTATACGCTGACGAGAAGGGCGCTTCTATGGTATACACGTTGCTAAAGTAGTTCGAGAACGCTTGAGCCTTACCAAAGTCGTCCTCCACTAATGACGAAGCAGTACTGTCTCCCCATAGAGCAGGAATATTTCCTTTTCTCCTTGTCCTTTGGTTTATATAGGAATACAAGCGTTTAGGACATTCTATGGATTCCTTAACAAGTTTTTCTTCGTACAATTTTCTAGACTTACGGAGGGTCGAGGCACAAGTGTTCCGAGCCTTTCGATACTGAGATTTTGACTCATCAGTCCCCAGTAACCTAAATCTATCCCACGTTTTCCTTTTCTTACGGAGAAGGATACGGACCTCCCTACTGAACCATGGTGGTGAGTTTTTCGGCCCCTTTGGTATAGTCCAAGGGATGTGAGGTGTGGTAACTTTTAAGTATGATTTTCGAAATGCGTCCCAGGCCGTTTCAATGGAGGACTCTGGGTCTATTGTCCAATCTATTAACGATGCTGAGTGCATGATGTCTGGTATGTTTGCTTTCCAGACGTTGGGTCTGGACTGGACTGACGCGTCCTCATGACTGGCAGTTATATGGAAGTCGAAAGTTAAAACTGCGTGGTCACTTTTACCTAAGGGTGGCATATGGTGGAGGTTCGCAACACCATCCTCATAGTGAGTCAGTATAAGATCTAATAAGGATGATTCAGTGTCCGGGTCGTACCTAGTCGCTTCTTTCACATGTTGCACTAGGGCACATGTGATAACCGCATCAACTAGTTCCTGCTCGAAGGAATTTTCTGACGATTCAGTTCGCAGATTTTCCCAGTCTACCATAGGTGCATTAAAGTCCCCTAGGATTAGACATCGACCACTTTGGGACCAAGTATTGAGACTGCTTAACAGGATCTCATTTGCCTCACAGCTTGGACTGCGATAGACCGAACCAATCAGCAGCTCTTGTCCCTTGCATTTTAAGCGAAGACCAACTAATTCACACGTCCCACTCTCATGGGATACACTATCGATAATGGTAAATGGGGTAGCATTCCTAATGAATAGAGCTACTCCCCCTCGTTTGCGCTTTTGTGTTCTGTCAGCCCTTACTAACGTAAAGCCCTCGAAATCAAGTTCTATACTATCTATAGCCTGTGTCAGCCAGGTTTCTGTTACTGCGATTATATCTGGCTTTATAGAGTCAATCTGTACACCTAGTTCCGATCGCTTATTAAGTAGGCTTCGTGCATTGGTGTAACAGATCCGAAGCCTGTTTAAGTGCCTTCGTGCTTCACCCAGAGTGGCTTCGGCATCATTCTCTGTCGAAGTCTTACAACCCGAAAATTTACAATTTTCAGGTCCTTTTCGCCAGCGTCTAACCTATGTTGTAGTTCTTTCTCGGCTTCCCGTCTTTTAACACGGTCTGCCAACGGTAGGTCCTTTCGGATAAAGACTCCTGAACCCTTTAATTTGTGTCCATTTTGTAAAATTAGGTCACGTTCGTTTGAAGAGCCGAATACTACTTTAAGCAGTCTGGAATGATTTGGTTTCGAGTCCGTTAGACTCCCTAGTCTATACACCTTTAGCAAGGTGACCCCAGTCATATTTTGAGGCATGAGTTGATTAAGCAGCTGCCTAATCAGTACAATGTCATGCTCAAAACGAGCTTTAGGTTCAGAGCTATCGCTCTCCTTAATTCTATGAAAAATAGCTGATCTGTCGCTATGATCAGCTTTCGGTTTTTCAACCACTTTTACGGGGGCAGGTTTCCCTTTTATATCAGTACTTTTCTTCCTTACAACCTTTACCCATTCGTCAACGCTGCTGGTAGAAGCAATAGCAGTTGCGTCAAACCTAGTGTTGGGTTTTGGGGGGTTGTCGACGACCTGAGGGGTCGTGTTATGTTTACCATTTGAAACCGATCGAGACTTGCGATTGCGGCTCCTAGGTGTTTCCTGTTGGATCCCATCTGGGAGACGGGGAACAGAAGACCCTACTTTTCTTGAGCTTTTTTTTAAAGCAGGCCCCTTTGGAGACTGCTTTTCCTTCTTCGACGGGCGTGAGTCATCTATCACCGGACTCACCTTATTTTCCCTCACATTGATTTGCGTGTTAACAGATCGAGTGCTGTTTGACGCGTTCCGACTATGCTTGTTGAAACACTTCTTTGCAGCATCAACCAGTGAGATGGCCTCGGTTAACAAGCTGTTTGCATCCGAGCAGCACTGTTGACAAAGCCACACACAACCCTTCTTACTGAACCGTTTGAAAGCAGCAGGCGTTAAGTTTGTGCAAACTTCGTGGTACCAGCCTTTGCACTCGTCGCACTGCATGCCGCTTTCAACAGGATAACGACAACCCGGACGTTGGCAACTGCGTTTTTTACACTGTCCGGTCATTTAGGAGGGGTTTTTTTCAATATGCGATGATACCCAGAAACAAAAAAAAATTATCAATGACCAAAAAAAGTGAAGAGCTGTAGATTGCTAGGACCAAAAGTACTAACAGATACAGTTGAAAAAGAGGTACTAAAGAGTACCAACGACAAAACAGTAAAAACGATACTTTAGTCGAATACTTTAACTGAAATAAATTCAATTAAAGTGAAAAACAGTAGTCTTGATACGTAATAAACGATCAAAACAATGAAATTTACTCAGCGAGGAAAAATACCACTGTCCTTTTTAAATCGCGCGCTCAGTTTTGGCAACTGCCTTCAGCTAGGGGTGCTTCCAGTTAGAAGAATAAGATCAAAATGGCTGTTAAAGGTTTACAAAACTCTTTATTTTTGGGTAATTATCGAATGCTACGAAGGATTCCCCACTATGTAATCAGAAACGAGTCCACTTCAGTAAGTAATAGTGATCACCAGGTTCTTCATTAATATTGCGGACACTTTCAGAAGCATATTAAAAAAAGATTGACACATTTCATCGATTTTCTGTCGTTCACTCAAAGTCTATGGAGATTCTGAATTTGATGTTGGTTATTGAATATTCTTGAATAGTTTACGTCCTTGTGCGCTACTCAGTTACTTGTTGCCAGTCATTTGCTTTGTAGATAAGTTGGAATTAGAATGTTGGCGTTTTTCCAGCGTATTCTCGATTGGATTCGAAGTCTTTTTTGGAAGGAGGAAATGGAACTAACATTGGTTGGTCTTCAGTACTCGGGAAAGACCACTTTTGTTAATGTAATTGCTGTAAGTCACTCCCGAATTTGATTGGTTCGGCAGTATACCTTGGTTTGACTATGAATTGATTGATAGTGTTTTGCTTTTATGTAGTCCGGGAAGTTTGATGAAGATATGATACCTACTGTTGGTTTCAATTTGCGCAAGGTTACTAAGGGGAATGTCACTATAAAGGTAAAGTAATTCGTAGTGTTAAATGCCTTCAGATGTGGGATATCGGTGGTCAACCTCGTTTCAGGAGTATGTGGGAACGGTATTGCCGGGGAGTCAATGCGATTATGTAAAATTCACAATTATTGTACATATTTTATATAGTTATATGGTAGATGCTGCTGATCATGAGAAACTAGAAGCTTCGCGCAACGAGCTTCATGGTTTGCTTGACAAACCCCAGTTACTTGGCATCCCTGTTCTGGTGTTGGGAAACAAAAAGGACTTGCCAAATGCTCTTGCGGAACATGAGCTAATTACAGCTCTCAATTTGGGGGCCATTACTGACCGTGAGATATGTTGTTACTCTATCTCATGCAAAGAACAAGAAAATATAGGTGAGATTAATTTTATTATCAACTCTTGAGTTGTTATATTGTTTTGTCAAGACTATGAAACATAATTTTCATTTCCAGTTGCAACTACCCTCCTGACTGTCCTGATACAGCTTGTTGTATGCAGTGACATTGTGTATTTAAGTTACTCCTCCTTACTTCTATTGACTGAAGTACCTGCGGCTGTAGCTGTTGATCTCAGTGACTGATTTAAAAGCATCTGGTTGTCTTTGTACACAAACGGCTCTGTGACATTCTGGAGTCTCTTAAAGGACCTTTTTTATTGAAATTAAATACATTGAACTCAGGTTTAGGATAACAGTTTTCTGATAACTGAATATAATTGTTTATCCTCATCAGCTTTATTAATTTAATCTACAAGGTAGTGTAATGTCATATTCTGCTTTCAAACAGCTGACTGCATTCTGGTCAGCAATAAATTCAACCTAACCGACATGTTACATGACTTGAAATCAAACTCGGTACCCAATATTTTGGGAATAAATATGTCAATAACTTTTAAGCAAAATAGTGGTATGTATTATGTGTTTAATTTAAAGTCAATGGTTTAAGAACGTGAACTGCATTCTGCTTATTATAGTTTTAGTAAAAATGATTGGTTCGACGAAAAGTCCGCTTTTCAACGAATTCACTTTCGAATCTGTAAAATTGCAAATATATACTTATTTTTCAAAATAATAGTAACTACAGTAATACTGATGTTAAAATTCCTTAAACATGGCAACAATCCGGTAGAACGAACAAACTTTATTTATATGAAGACATAAATATTGGTACAAAGGGGCACCGAATACATATGCTCCACACGAGTCACTTGATTCGTACTTAGGTTTTGATACTGCCTGAGTGCTCAAACAGAAGCAGGTGGTTTTCTTAGGGGATCACACCCCGAGCCTTGACCTGGTCTGATCCACATAGCAGTACAACAACGTCAGGAGATGCAGTCCCATGGTAACCGGTGACCAACGATTGGTTCATATGCCATTTGTTCCTTCAGGATCCTGGAGACTATGTACACCATTGATTTGGAATCAGGGTTTTCCAACACTCCTAGTTGGACTCTCCGTGTCCACCGACCCGGTTGAAGCGCTGGACATTCGCTTTTCGTCCTCTCAATTTCGTAAACAACACCCGTGGTGCGCGGAGGTGGTGAGTAGGACTTCCCTGGTAGTGGTTGTATGCATGTGGCCATGTGAGAGCATTTCGAGAGGGAGAACTGACTCCCTCCAGCTATACTAGGGAATTTGGGGATCAAAACGTTTTTTTCAGGGAAACTAATAATAGTTTTGTTGTTAGGGTCTTGAATATTCGTCATGAAGCTAGGCAGGGGAATTTAAATTAGGAAAAAGGCTCAGGATAATAAGAAAAAATGTTGGAATTGAGATGAACTGTAATCACGAGGATAATAGAAACAGAAACAAACCAGTTGGGGATTGGAGATCTTTAGAAAAGATAGAAAGGAAGCAGACGACTGTAAACGAATGAAAGTATATAGAAAAGTGAAATCACGACCATGGTAAATGAAGAGGTTGTACCAGCTTTTCTTGGAGCATAATTCTGGTTTTCCCTGATTAACCAATCCTTATTTTATGTCCCAATGAGTATATTCAGTTTAGGTAAACAATTTATATCAGCCGACACAATAGATATGGCTCATAATGTAGTTCATGATTGTAAGTATCAATGCCAATAATATTATTCCCAGGTCTCAAATTGTTAAGTCACTAGAACGTTCGTGGAGATCTATTCATATTACTCAACGTACATCACAGATCTTTTTGCAAAAACTCATTTGTAAATGTAGTTCATGTTTGTTTTTGGGTCATATCCTATTATTTCTTTGTTTTGTTTTTACTGATACTGCTAGTCGTGCTTGTCATTTAGCTTTTCTTCACTTTGTTTTAGACATCACACTCCAATGGCTAATTAAACATTCTAAATCTAACCGATAAAAGTAGTGGATTTGAAATAATACATTTCTCCGATTGATAATAATCTCTAATTCACCCAATGAATAAGTTAAAATACCATCTCTGGCTGGATATTAAACATTATGGACAGTCCGAGTTAATTTTTGATTTACACGTTATTTTTCTCATATATTGGTCATTATGCGAAGATTTAATTAAATTCCATCTGTAATCCCGATATACCTTCGTAACCACTCACAGGAGAATTGAAATAAAAAATCTCATCTTATTTCATTGTGTAATAAATTTCTTTACGGGAATAAACTGTTACATACACAATCATTTTCATATTCACATTCCTTATATTTACTTCATTATAAACTTGAACTAAACAAAAATATTTCTGTTATCTCACTTCATTGAAAATGTGTATGACTGCTATTTGCTTATTATTTTTGTATGCTTTAGTTGGAAAATGATCAATGTGTAGTAGTAGTATCTTGTTTCTTGCTTCATCTCTAATTATTTAAACTCGGTAGTGGATAAAAACGAAGTGATTACTATTCGTTGTTTCGTTGCTTTTCCATTGAACTAGTGCCGCATTTGCTTTTTCCCTAAATACCTAATTTTCGTTTTACTTTATTCGTGTTTTTACTTCACTAACTCTTTCAAATTAACCTTCCACTTTTTGAATATAGTCGGTTTGTTTTTGTCTCTTTTTTGGTCAGTCAGTTTTAATTACAGTAAACCAAACACTAAGCTTCACTGAATGTAATAGTTATTTTTTTAGGGATGCTAGTATTCTCTATTTTCTATGCATAATATACATTAAAGCCACAAAATCAACAGATATAATGTACTCTAATAATTTTTTGTCTTATTAGTCATGTTGGTGACAATTTATTTTCGTTATAGATTAAATCTGATGCTAATCTCCTTTTTGGTCTATAGTTAGTTCATATATTTTTCTGCATCCATCTGAACATGTTTTTCATTTGGTGATAAGATGCATAGGCAGTAACTTTCAGACTTTTCGTTAAGCGGCTTTAAATCTAACGTAAGCAAGGTAGCTGTAAATTAATAGGGGGGAGAATTACTTGTGAAGTATTGTATTATATTCATAACACATTGAGTGATGACTTCTGAACGTATACTACTGTACTGAGACTATGATCCATCAGTCATTACGTTATAAGTAGTAAGAGCTAAATGATTAATGTTTGGACAGATACATCAATATTGGACCTATTATAAATGTGTGTTGATCCACGTCGCCAAAACACATTAACATAATCAGATGAAGTTAACAAAATATATAGTGGAGTCGAAATAGTGTAGCAAAGATCATGATTAAGAAGACTAAGCGTTGATACTGTGGGTCAGAAAGACAATCGTATATATGAAAGGATACTGACATTCAAGATCTAGAGTTATCGAGCAAATCCCAACCAAATAATCTTCATCTACCAGCACGGCTCAAATCTGCAGTCTGTAACTTCATGGGACAAATCCTGACCATTTCAGTCGATCAAGGTTTACAAGCCCATCCAGCATCTACTTGTATGCAGTATGTAAGCTGGTATACATATAGGTTGTAAGAAATCTAAGAACGGCCGGACAATGGCATGGAATCATCCCATGAATTCACAGACTTCAGATCTAGGCCATGGTGGTAGATGAAGATTATCTGGTTGGGATCCGCTTGATAACTGCGGTCGGTGGCTGGCATTGGGTAGTTTCCTTGAAAATCGGTCACAATGGTATGGATTTCATTCACTTATTATCTTCATTTGAATGCTGTATTTCAGATTTATTGTGCACTTTCCAATTCTCCGTTAAATACATTCTTCTTGAATCATATTCTCCGTGCTTAAGGTTTTTTAATATTGCTGATGATGCTATTATTTCTCCTTTCGTGTTCACCTTGATACTTTCATCTTTTTATGCTGATGCGGTGTAACAACTTGGATCGATCCACATTTGTCCCAAATACTATGTTGCTTATGACTACATTATGACCAGTTATATATATTTGCTACTGCCAACATCACATTTTGTGTACTCAATATTAAAAAAAATCTTTAGGAGCGAGTGAATTAGTGTTTATCCTTAAGTTAATTCACTTGATATACTTTAATAAATAGAAAACAGGAACATTTATGAGATGAAATGAATTCTCAATTCTATTCATGACTTCACATTCACACTATTTATAATACCGGGCGAGATTAATCTGAAAACTGTAGGTGATTAATAAATCAAAAAGTGTAAATCACTTCTGATTTATATATGATTGAGAAGAATGTAAAGAGAAAAATCACTGGCAATGATTGACCGATTTTGCAATACGTAAAAATCTATAGAAATTAGTCTCAACAGTTGGAACCAGAAAGGCAACACTAAATAAAAAATTACTTTCCAATTTTGCACAGTTCACGGTAACATGTAAGAAATACCATAAATCCATTTTATCGTACACATATTTATGCATAAATTTCGTTCTGTATTATTGTTTTGGTGGTTATAAATGACAAAATAATTTGAGAAACAGATTTACAAAATAACTCAATCCAAAATTGCACATGATCTGATTCTTATTTAAAAATAACTTCATGATATCATCCTCTCTAGTATAAGATTTGGAAGTGCTAGATTCAATCCTGTGTGTACTATATTTTGGATGTGTTCACAACTAGTACGCCACAATGTCGGATTCGTAAACTAGATGATTAGCAAATCATTCTATCCAAATGTTGTCGATTTGTGATGAAAATTATTTTCCGAAAATGTTTATGTGAACTAAAGAATTGACTTGGAATGTTGTTACATCATTATTACTTCTAGTTCTTTTTTTACAATGTAGTTTCAATATTTCAACCTTGAGACTATGAATAATAAGCTTTTTCTCCACATTGTCGTTTAGTAAATAATACTACGTTATACTGTAATATATTGACAAACAGGGAGAATGTTTTAATATATTGTTACATTATCTTAGTTCTATATTAATCTTAGAACAGGATAAACTTGAAAGTTTACATTCTAACTCACTGTAATTCCTGTTCTGTTTTTAGTTCTATATGATAAACATTTGGTTTTAATTCAGAGTGATTTCTTATTCAATATAATCTTCATTTTATTTTAGTGTGACATTTTTTGTAATAATTTAGTGCAAACTTCATTCAGTATAACGTGCAACACGTATTTTGTTTTAATAACTATTCATTTTAGTATTTTTTTCCTATTTCGATTATTTGTGACATTCATAAAATGTCAATAAAATCGATATATAAATGAACATATTTTGATTAAAGTGATCTTCATGCTGTTGATGGGTGAATAAGTATGATGATTAGAAGTATTCGGATTAATGTGCTAACTAGGACTTCCCGAAATAGTGCAATTTATAGCCAATAGAACTAGATGAGCACAAATGAACGTATTATATTTGGAATTCGTTTTAAGCGAAAAATCAAGTACAAATACTACAACCGCCACAGCTTAAATGGAAATCAAACTTTCTTCAATCGATTGTGTCGTCGCCTTAGGTCCATCATGTGTCTGTCCGGTTGTGTATACGTAGAGACTATATGGTCTAGAATGTAATCATTATTATAAACGTTAACAACCGAAATCGGAATGGACTCACCTGGAATGGCATTTGCTTAACATGTAATCTAATCATTGGTACTTAGAATTCAAATAACATTTCCCAATATTCTCCACCGCAATCCTCGCGGCTAGCTGAAATCCATTTTCACGATAACACGTAACTTCTGCAGACTCTAAGCACTTCACATTCGAGCCGAGAATTCTCGCTTCTAATAACTTAGATGGAATCACTTTCGCTGCAGAATGTTTAGCATTTCTATATTGCAGTAGAAATATGTCTACTCCCCTCTCCAGTTCATCAAATGTTGCAGCAGAGATGGAATTAATGCCAGTCTTTAATGTTCTGACGAATTTTTCTGCCCGACCATTAGGACAAGGGTGTCTGGGAGCAGTGAACAGAAATATTCTGAATCAGACGACGCAATAAAGAAATAAGTCTCTGATCGTGATCTGCTTTATCAGAACCATGAGTAATAAAACCATCTTGATAAGCTCCAACACCTTTAGGTTTACTGGCTACATTATTCATCACTTATTGAAATATGGCTGGAGAACAACTTAAACGAAATAATGAAAGTTGTATTTTAATAGACCAAAATGCGTGTGAATTGTTGTCAAAATAGGTGAAGATTGATCTAGGGAGACTTGAGGGTAAACACCTTTCAAGAATACCTCAGAACCATGAAGTCAATTAAGCATCTTCAGCTTCCATCATCATACACGTTTGCTTCAACAAGTGGGGGTTCATTATAATCCGTAATCACTGCATATTCTAGGGGTCGTTCTATGACTTCAATAGCGTAACAAGAGGAGAACCCCACGCTGAAGACTAAATCGGTTCAATTACACTTTTTGCACACAATTCATTCAATGACTTATGTACTACTTCTTGAAGACCATAAAGAATTATTCATCTTTTAAGAAAGACAGAATCGCCCTGTACTTGAAGTTTCATAGCCTGAATTCTCATCCCACAACTTCACTTGGCACACTCAGCTATCAAATCTTCAGGTAAAGCATCAGAATCTTCTCTAAAAACTAATAAAGACAACTCCACTTAAGGTCTTCAAATTCGTTAAACCAAATATTGATAGTCCTGCTTCATTAACTAACAAATCAATATATTTATAAAGAATTATCGTCTCTAATTAACAATTAACAGCATCCTCGTAGACAGTTTGTATTCAGTAATCCTCAATACTTAGATCTCAATGGGTAGTACTACAACGTTAGAATTTAAAGACTTCAAATTCTTGAAAAAGACAGTGAACTCCATATCGCCTGTGTGAACAATAGTAATGGAATAAACCAAGGGAGGTATATAATGGCTTCTCAATATGGAAATTACCTTCCAAACTCGTAGATTGAGATAAGTGATCATTAGAAACACCCAGCTCAATAAAAACCGAACTACTGGATTTACCAACCCTGGTGGTGAAATGAACAGTAACTTTAGAAACCGACTTGAGGTGTTTCATTTTAGCACGACGAAAGACACATGAATTACGTGAGTGAAACTTGTCACAGGATACGCATTCACTGAATCTGCGTTTACCTCTATAACCTACTTTCCGATTCTTTGTCGAATCATTTTTCACATTTCCGCGAAAACGGGAACCACCATTAATCACAAGTGAGCTTGGGCAACCTTGAGAATATAAATCATCATGACAAATAAGTAAACTATTAGAAATTCTCACTGACTGGAAACCAAGCTCGTTTACAGCCCTATAGTAAATATATGTTCTAATTTTTTTGAATGAACTTGTAGGTTTTTGAATGTATTCTTTTTCTATATTTGGAATATTTATCCCAACAGTCAACCGATAACGAAGATGAATTTCCAACCAGTCTCCAAGATTGCACGTCACGACCTGTTTCTATAGTTCAAGTATAAAGTCTCTAACTTTCTGCCCATTCTGTCGCATCATTATATGACACTGATCCGTCTCTGCACATGACCAAGTAGAAACTCCTTGAGAGATCCATATGACAATGAAGTTGATTTCTCTGGAAAAGCCAAATCCTTAGTACGTTATACACGTCTTTTCCAATAAATGTCAGGAATTAAGCTGTGAATTTATTATCTTTAATCTTTTCTAGTCATGCACGAGATTTTAGATCTCTCCATATCGTTTTCAAAGACATCCCCACTTGAATTAACATACAACTGTCCAAGATTCGACCTTATCGAGACGCTAGTATGATAATTAGAAGTATTCGGATTAATGTGCTAACTAAGAGTTCCCGAAATAGTGCGATTTAAGGCAGGTAGAACGAAATGAACATAATCAAACGTACTATATTTGGCATTCGTTTTAAGCTTGCAATCAAGTACCAAGCAATCATTAATTAGTACAATTACCACAGTAATTTAATAATAAACAGTATTAGTTAAAGTACAAAATTTTGCGTAAATTAACTTGTTTATGCACATATCTATAAATTAACAGTAGACGTGGTAGTTATTGATTTATGTTTATTGCTTAACTTATATATATTAATTACGAAATCATGTAGAAATACTTTCATGAAAATGGTAAATCACAACAGAAACTTGATGTGTGGACCAATGGCAATCAGCTAGAATTGGCTGATGAACCCAAACCAACTGCTAGATCTGTTTTGTTATTTCTTCCTAGCTTTATTAATTGCAATAATATTTGCGTGTTTGTTGGCCTGATAACGTGTTCTTGATCCTAGATGGTTTAACGTTTGAGAGATCAATCATCTTTTATGTGCACAAAGTCATCAGTTCCGTCGTTAATCCTAGGGAACCAAGCTTCACATCAAAACATAGATGACCCCCAAGTGCCCTGGTACGGCCGAGGGTGGGGGGAGTCTGCTCTCCCTCTCGAAATGCTCTCACATGGCCACATGCATACAACCACTACCAAGGAAGTCCTACTCACCGCCTCCGCGCACCACGGGTGTTGTTTACGAAATTGAGAGGACGAAAAGCGAATGTTCGACGATTTAACCGGGTTGGTGGACATGGATAGTCCACCTAGGGGAGTTGGAAAACCCTGATTCCAAATCAATGGTGTACAGAGTCTCCAGGATCCTGAAGGAACAAATGGTGTACGAACCAATCGTTGGTCACCGGTTACCATGGGACTGCATCTCCTGACGTTGTTGTACTGCTATGTGGATCAGACCAGGTCAAGGCTCGGGGTGTGGTCCCCTAAAACCACCTGCTCCGGTCTGGGCACCCGGGCAACATCCCAGCTCTCACATAAACCGAATGATTTACCTGGCGCATAACTGTTTGTTGCCTCCTTGTATCAATGTTTATGTGTTGAAATAACTAAATATTAGTAGCGAGAAAAAAATTACAGTATTTTCATTATTAAATTTTTCCAGTCAATTGATTGTACAGATTAAGTCAATTTTGAGACGTATATAGATTAAATGATTATCATTGCATATGAGTAAACTGGATTTGAATATGCGGACCATGAGATTGCCATTCACTAATCTAAAAGTAATGCGCTCACTTAAGTGCGATACTTGATGTGGACAAGACGGTCAACTTGAATACAAGGACAAATAAATAAAATGCAACCTACGAAGACGACCAATCGCAACCAAGGCCGGTAGAAAAAACTGTTTTGAGGCTTGTGAAATAGGCAATAAGCTCATTATCTAGCTCAGTATCACCGAAAACACCCACCTGAGCTGCAAGTTCTATCTTCTATTTTTAAATTCTGAAGTTTTTAAGCTATTTTTTGAAAATCATAATTCCTACTAGTAACTTAATCCTTATACTGTTTAATCTATACATAATTAAACTTGTACTCTCATATTTTTAAAAATATCCTTAAACTTGTTATAGCTACACTATGCTGTTTACTTAATGAAAAAACTTGTCGTCTGTTATTGATAACTGTAGGCTGGGAATTATTGTTGAAATATTCGTATCGAGTATTAATCTTTGTCCATGTCATTATTTGGGCCTGTTACCCATGCTTTTCATATCATATGTATGTTATTAAATAATATACAAAAACTACAATGCCATTTTTAATGAAGTAAATTTGTAAAGAAGGAAAAACTAGTAACAGTAAACACTAAATGATTCTTAAATGATCAACACAACTTAGTATAATGATAAGTAAGTCCAAAATACACTCCAAATATGATTCTCTATGGTATATTCACAGATGATAATTATCATATTGATTCGTCCAAAAATGATTTAACAATGATTAAAAGGCTAACTGTGAAGGGAGCGATTCAGTTTATATGAAAAATGTCAAACTACTGAAAATACTAGCACATTGGAGTTCTTAGAATTTGTGTAACACGTAATCCTTAAAAATGTTCTCTCGAACAACCATAATTTTCTCACCACTTCCTGATATCAGATTGCTAACTTCACGGAAAGGATATATTCGGTTTTGCTCAATCCACAATCACAAATTACTATTAAATCCTGAACAAATTTAATCATGACGAATGCTGTTCAAGAAAGATAACATTTTGTATTCAGTAGCTGTAAGTAGAAAAATCAATCATCTATCCTAGTCATATCATTATGATTATCAGTCGAAATGTAAGAGTTAGAAAGTGATGTTTAATTAGTTTTTGAGTCTGACAGTTTTCAAATATCTTCCACTGATTTGTTAATCTGATTACGCTTAAGTCAAAAGACAAGAAAACTCCCAGAGGAAAACCCCATAAAATTTAGAAGACCGTTGATTCAAATATATACTTTTGTAACAGTAATTATTTCTCTCATTTAAAAATTAAAATAGACATTTGATACTCAGTATTGAAATGTTGGTTTTAGTGAAGTAAAGCATCTAAAATTATGCTTCGATATCCCTTGACATTAGTGTATAGATACACTCTCCCCATCTTTCTAAGCTATTTCGCAATTGTCTACCTTATTCCACGAACGATTGCACAGTTCAGTTTAAATTAACATTGTCTTCGAGGGTTGTTAACAAAATAATATGATGAAACATATTAGGAGCTTGAAATTAGCTAAAATTAACTCCCTAAAATACTTAATACAGCGGACTGAGCATTAAAAAACCTAAACCATAATTTATACAAAACTGACAAACTAATTGTGAAAAATGACTAGTGATTGAAAATGTGAGCTTCAATTTGATACGAAATCAAATCATTTTCATAGTTTGAATCCTTAACTGATCTTAGCTAGACCAACACTGAAAACCTGGGAGCACTGAATAGCTGCTTCATCCTAGTATGCGATTACTGTAAAATGTGCACTTGCAACCTCACGACAGAGGACTGGACCCAGAACCTTCAGTTTTTCTCGTGAACGCTTAACGTCTAGATCACTGAACAGACAGTGGTTTGCATCTCAAACCCTCATCTAATGCCTACAATAGATAACTGTCTCACACCCGATATGATTGGACTCCAGTGGTCACGGCTTATCACTAGAACTCCAAGAATAGCATCTTGAAGCTAGTCATTGATGAATGAGTAACTATTATTTGTGGAGTGTTTATGTAAATTTTAGAATTTTCATTGTCTTAAAGCATACGATATAAACTATGAAAATCTCACAAACTGTTTTATGGTTGAGGTCACAACGTTGCGAATTTAATAAGGTAAATATATCAGTATTCACTTTCATTATTCCATACAGACATTCACAATGAACTTAAAATTACTGTACATGTGAACCTAACTTGCTCTAAAAGATTCAAATAAACTGGGTTGAACTAATCAATGAAGAATTCGTTCACTGTTGGTAGCATATATGAAGTATGGTGTTTGCATTACGGTTAGACATAAGGATGCAACCACTTAAACGACGTAATAACATGTAAAAATCGTAGTAGATAAATAACTTTTCTATACTGTGTATAAATATGTCTATATTATAACATGGCACAAACCTTTTAACAAATATGAAATCACTAAACACCTTGTTTCATGAACATGAGAATCTCTCCAGTGATCTCAAATTTCAAAAAAACGTCATAAGAAGTCAAATGACTTGATTGATAAGATTATAAATTGGCATTGAAAATTAAAAGATCTAATATGCAGTTTTTTGAATTGATGATCACAAAATTAGTTCTCGAAAATTTGATCAGAATAATTCAAAAAAATTCATAAATCAAACTGCTGAGAAATTTTAACACCTCACTTGTTTTTTAAGTACGTGCTAACAACTTTGTCTGTGATGAGGATAAAAGCTTAATGACTAAGTCATCCAGCTCAGGGAACGCATCACCTCCAGGAAATTTTCTAGTCATTGTCAATAATACAATCATAAAAGAGTACATCTAATATTATGTGTAAATTGTTCATTGACCCATAGCGAGAATACTAATAATGATTACAGCTCTGATTATCGATGCCACATTGGCATGACTGTCTAACTTTTATATCGTGACGATACACTGGTTGGAGTACTTTTTCTTTGTGGTTGTATTATACCAAGCAGGTCAGATAAAGTAGTACTACCAAGAACAAACAATAATACCAATGTGTTGTGGTGTGAGACAACAAGATATCTAAAACTTTAGCCTGCTTTATCACTTACTTTGGAACAGCAAAAATGCGTAAACCAAGTCACCTCGAGACGTGATCATGTAAGTCTTGACTAAGTTAATATACTAGAACAAATACCAACGCTCAAATATAATCAAATTCACTGACCTGAGGAGAGCATTTGGCTACCTTGACCAAGAGGTTTTGTGGTTGTGTTTGTCGTTGAAAGGTGTGTTGGAAAGCATGTAAACCTCCTGAAGACTATTTACTTGAATACCTTTAGTTGAGTTAAGGCCGTAATTGGCAACTTTCATCAGCGTTCTTCAAGGCAGCTCGCTATCCCCATTTTTCCTCGTTACAAGTATTCACATAGAAATTTCCTTCGTTTAAATTTCCAAGTATATATCTTCTACTCGGAAACTCACTTATCAATCTAGAATACTCAGATGATAATTGTGATAAATAAGGATAATTAGAAAGACCAATCTTCCAAACGCCTCGAGCAACAATGCAAAAACTTATGGGTTGCTTTTCTTGCAATTTTAGGACTGAACTGCAACATCACTTAGATTGTTCACAGCGAGTGAAGGAGTTGATTTAGTCAAAAGCAAATAATTTATCTCGGAACTCTCATCAGCCCATTAGGGCTGATGTCCGTTGAAATCTCGGCAAAGTTTCAGAATACTCGATTGGCTTTTGTCAAATATTCTGCAGTAGCATTTTAAATTTAAATTATATACCTGATACTTACAAAATAATATCGGTTTATCTTATGAAAAGAAATATAATATTTTGGTGTATTTATCAAAACATTTGTGTGATATAAGACGCAGAAATGAGAGAGTTCATTAGATAGACCAATATCTGATGATAGGATAGGATTGATACATTTTGATATACCAAATGAATAAAAACATTTTACACTTATGAGACAGCTTAGAAACATCTCCATCGATACAAAAACTGTTCATTTTTTAGATATTAGACTGTCTGAGCGCACACAGTAGGTATTGAATAGTTAATAGCTGAATCATTAAGCCTTAAAGTTCATATTTTCACTACCTAGTTCACTTTGATCAGTCAAACAAAAAATTCAACATACCCTTTGAAAGTAAATGTAACCTCAAAGTCAGACGCAGACTAAGAAGTTTAGTTAATCGACACAGCTTTCCGAACTCTAATCAGACAACATATTCTATGTAGTTACCAAACGTAATAAATGTAATGCGGCAGCTAAAAATTTTTATGAGAAAGCGGACACAACCCATATCAGCCACAAATTAGTAAATCAACGAGTGAGTTCAATGCAGCGTACAAATCTAAGGCATCTCGTAAACCAAACATAGACTGATGCAAACCCAATTTGACAAATCTTTATGCTTTAAATGCATTTAATTCAAGTGTCAGTTGTTTTCATACTTCAAATTTTTGATAATATTTACGTAACCACACCAAGGACATTAGAAATTTACTGGGTTTTGTCATAACTATTCGTTAATTGAAAGATTTCTCTCTAAAAGGCAAGTTCATCTCGTTTTCTAAAAGTCATTTTACCTTATATTCTTATCTACATTGGTCAGGTAATTTTTGTATTATCATGTTATATACTCATTTTTCTCTTCGTTCACGTCCAATAATACAGGTATGCATATATCTTCGATGCTAATATACCATTTGTTATGAACAACAATCTTTATAGCATTCTGAATCACTTATTTCAGCAACAGTTCTATGCGCCTTTCTGATTAATCATTATTATTGATTCCCGTGGCTATTATGGTTTATATACGATAATTTTGATGTATAAGGTGCTCGTATATTGTCAGTTTATTTGGAGGTCTAGCAACACACATGTGCATGTGAGTCATCAGTCTAAGCAATCAAACAAACTTCTTGCCCCCTGGATGTAGCTTGGTTTAAAATATCCCCAAAATTCATTAGCACTAATGAGTATTAGTCAAAGAATATATAAGAATGAGATAGGCCGACCAAAGTGGTGAGCTTTTTGTTTAAAAAAACGCTGCAAGATCCTGGGGGAACGAATGTCTTTTTGTTTCCATTTTGTGTACTTTTATTCTTTCGCTGAGGTAGTTTAAAGACTACCTAGCAGTCCGCTAAAAATTATGGATGGACATTGTGAGCATTTGCATGATGTCACAAAAATAGTGATTGATGTCACTAGCAAATTTGCGAAACGACCACAATTTATGAGCTTTAAATAAAGTTTACAAAATGGTTACTCCTGCACCTTTGTATTTACTAATTTCGCTTAAACCAGTAGTAGATACAATGCCAAATTTCACCAATACCTAGAATGGCAGGAAACATGGTGTTGGCAATTTTTTTAAAAACTGGCCCACAGTTTACTAATATTCTGTTCGTAGCTACTCAATTGACAAAAATACAAAATATATGTCATTTTCCACTTACTTTCGAATACATTGAGGATTGAGTAGACTGTTTGTAATAATAAAATAATACATTTGTAATATCCCAGTGAGTAGAAAATTAAATTGTTTCTGAAGCAGCAACTTACACTATGCCATGAAACGATAGAAATTCTATTTTCTACTTATTAGGATATTATTTTATAATTACTCTTTACTAATGTAAAGAAAACGTAACGATTATATTGAACTGATGTACTATTTACATATTTTAAAATCAAATTTTAAAAAACATCTTCAGAAACTAGATTCAATAATATCAGTATCGTCAATATGCGTCTTCTCGACAGACTGACGATTTATGTAAGAGTCCATGGCAACTTCAGAATCACTTAAAGATTTAGTCAAATCATTTTCTTCCGAAACTGAATTAAGTTCTTGTTCAGTGGAAGATTTATGGATTTCAATTGAATTTGACATGGATTCACCTCCTCCAGTTTCATTTATATTGTTTAAATCAGTAGAATTCAAAATACCAGATTTTGCAAGTACCTAAACGAACAGAAAAATATAACATTACAACCAATTTTTAAAAAAAGACAAAATTTTCTTTTTAGTAATCAGAAAATATATAGCTGCACATAAAATTTACACAAAAAAGTCAGACATATTTCTTATGCTACTTATAACTACAATTTCATGGATATTTTCTGAGAAAAATTCTAAGGAATATTTCATATAACACATGTTATAAATAATCAAAGAATATCCAGTGAGTAAACACTACAATGGATTAAAACGTGATGAAAATTTAACATAGATTCCAGTTCTGTGTGAATACTTTGGAGGTGGAATAAGTGTTTGAAAAGGAACTAACACTTCTATACAACTTGGTATTTCAATTGGTAACCCTACAAGCGATAATTATTATTGACACATTAGGTTTTTGAGCAGGTTAAAAGCAGAAATTATACATATCAAACAAATAAAATTAAAAAATAGTAACTACTTGATAGAAATACAGGTTAATCAACTAACTAACCACCTAATACGAACAGCAAATTTACTATATAAGTCCTATGCAGTTGTAAAAAGGTCACTGCTTTACTTTCGATGTAGATCTTACGCTGAAGATGACTTTTGATTTCAGTATCAACAGTTGGTTAAAAAAGCCATTTAGTTTGAAAAACAAGATATCAACTAGACTAGTAATGCTTTCTAGTGAGTGAACAATTATGGTTGAAACGAAACTACAAGATTAAAATATAGTGCTTGCTAGATACTAAATTTAAATCCATTCTAACCAAGGCCTGTTTAGGAAAACATCAAAAATTGATATTTCGCATAGAACTGTATGGATGAAACTTAAAAGTACAAGAATGAACCTTGCAAACAGAGAACCTTGTAACCAAAACCCATAACACTTTGTTGTTGAAAGAATGAAAGATTCATGTGAAGATAAACACAATGTTTTTTTTACTTAATCATTCATATCAACTTAAGTTAAAGCGAATCAATTTAGACTAATGCAATGAGTATTAAACTTCAAAATGAAATACGGTAACAATGGCGAATTTATGTAACCTGTTGTTAGATGCTAGTTATACTCGGCTGTCCAAAATGAAGTATGTCGAATTAAGTTCTAACCTGCAATAAAACGGTGGAATATAAAGTGCCTTAATAAGTTAAACACACGAAGATTGGTACAAGGGGAATCAAAATACATAGTGGTCACACAAATCAGGATTTATGTGTGGGCTGATATACTGTCCAGGTGGTTTCCTTCGAGCCAGAAGTCAAGTCCACAAAACAGCGGAGTAACATTGAGAGATCCGTTACCTAGATAGCCGGTGACAAACAATAGGTTTATATACCATTTGTTTACTCAAGATCCTGAAGACCATAAGCACCATAGGTTTGGAATCAGGGTTTTCCAGCTTCGCTAGGTGAATCCTACGTACTCACCAACCCGGACATTCGCGTTTTGTTCTCTGAATCTCGTAAACAACACTCCTGCTGCGAGAAGCCAATGAATAGGACTTCCCTGGTAGTGGCTACATACGCATTTCGAAAGGGAGAGCGGACTTTCCCCACTCTCGGGAGTATCAGAGAGTTTGGGAAAACCAGCTACCTATTCGGTCACACTGAGTGCAGAAGTTTATGGACGTTTCCTTGGTAAGATAACATTCCATAAGATACGCTTCGACTTAATATCATATAAAGTTAGTCTGAGTACTTTAAATCACGTGTCTGTTGTAACGCTTTTTTCTTCTTTTTATAATGTTTAAGAGGGACAATGAAATTTTATAGTCGTTTTACTTATAAAAGAGATTCCCTGTATTCATTTGTGTTCGAAGTTGAAGAACAGTGTCCACTATTATGCATATTCGTAGATTCAATTCAGCACAACAACTATGTAAACGAATATACAGAAAGTCAAGTAAAAACTCAAAACTACCGACCTGCTGAATTGACTTCATATCTACTGTATTAGCTAAATCATCTTCGTTTATGTCCATACTAATATCCATATGTATATAATTCTGAGCAGGATCAAAATCTGTTGGTGATTTGATGTCACCGAGATTTTCGTTTAATTCCTGTCCACACTGTTCAAAGTGTTCCTTAGGAGGAATTTTTGTTGACTTCCTTGAAGATAATGGAGTAGAACGATAAAAATTTGAATTGAATGGTGCAAATGATGATCTCGAATTTAACGAAGTTCGAAGATGATGAAGTGGAGTTTTTAAAATATTTGATCCTTTGTTAGTTTTCTCATTATCATGAGATCTTGATGGAGTTTTCTGAGTTATACTTATTTCTCGCAAACTTTGCGTAATTGAATCCTCTATAGTTATGCATTCTATATCAGCAACTGGTGCACTAGGTGTATCGAGGCACTCATTATCCGATAGATCATCAGTTGGAGAATTCCTGATTTCCAGAGATCCATTATCATTCTTCTTCTGTACTTCTACAACTTCAGTAACATCTTGTAACTGACATCCTAGCTTTGGCGAAAGGGGTTCATTTACCCCGTACGTGTTTACAGAACTAATTCGATCAACTGATTGATGCTCAATAGTGGTGCATACTAATGGTATATTTGAATTGGGACTTATATTTTCACTATGATGTTCAATATTAGATGAAGTGTAAATGATGTTAGTGTGTGGATTGTTAAATGATGTTACTGGTCTATTGAACATTGGTCTATGAGTGTCAGACTTGGAAGGCTTGAACAATTGATCTAATGGTACATGATTAATAAAACGATTGTCATGATTGTGGTAACTGGAAGGTGGTAATTTATTTTGTAAATTAAGATTTGCTAAATGTGTTGGCAATGATTTTACAGTACTTTCTGCTTGTGTCATTGTGACTGCTGGCATTTCTTTACCAATTACTCTTCCTTCAACAGCACATTCTTCAGCTATGGCACGTTCAGCTGCAACACAACGATTCATAACGTATAATTTCTCATGATCCGTATCAATAGCTCCTTCGTTAATAGATTCCTTACTAAACATTAAATCATGAAACGATAAACCATAAACAACATGCTTTAGTGCATCACTACTGAGGAATTTTAAATGTGGGCTAATGGAACTATCAGACCATCTATCTGAACCATCATGTAATATGTCTAGCTGCCGTTTAGTTTCAGAAATACGTGTGTCTCCGAGACTAAATAATTCAACCAGCTCTTGGCGACTGAAATACCGGTAAGGATCTAAGTCCGTTTTGTTTTGGCCTGTCGACGTTGTCTGGCGAATTACGGAATCTTTGAATATTTGACGACGATAAATCTTTTCTTCGACAGTTGCACAAGTAATCAATCGGTATACAACTACATCTAATTTTTGACCTATTCTGTACGCACGATCTACAGCTTGTGAGTCTACAGCTGGATTCCAACTTGGATCGAGAATGATAACACGATTAGCTGATGTAATTGTCAGTCCAACACCACCAACCTACAACAAAAAATCATGAAATATGAACCGAGCATGGATTATTTTAAGATAAATTACATGTTTATATTAATGAACTTAGTCATATTTATTAAGTGAAGGATAACGCTTTTATCAAGTTATAAAAAAGTGTAAGTGAAGCACAATTAAAAATCGAGTTAGCGAAAAAATGTTATCAGAAATTAGCTACGAAGTACTAATTTCTCAATGGTATTAGATAAAATGGCTTAGTCCAGTAGGGTATCGAAACTACGTCGCACAAAGAGACTAAAATTACCAAGAAAATAGATGGAAAATGGTTTAATTAATCAATGAAATGAGAAGTTCCATGCAATTGGTTCCCTTTATGAATTTAAATAAAGCAAGAACAAATATTGATGCAGAATAGTATGAATTCATATTATTTCGAGGTTTCTCGTCAGCTGCTTACAAACCAAAAAATGTGATAGAATTTTTACATGGAGATAGAGTGAAAACAATTGACATAAATGAGTGTAAATAACTGGGTTACAATAATAACTATATATATATATATATGCTAGAAATAGGTCAGAGGTCAAAAGAAGGGGGGTTAATCCAGGTTGGGTGGTGTAATAATGCAATTGAATAATCATAAGATAGGTTACGTAATAATAATTAAATAGAATATGAAAAGTTAAGATAATTTAGGAGGATCAGGTGGTGGAAATGCGTAAATAATAATGTGGTTTAAGAATTATGTAATAGGGGAGGAATATAAATATTTTAAAATAAATAAAAATAAAATAATAATAATAATAAAGGGTTACCAGGGTAGTGATAAGCTAATTAACGTCTCTTTTTGAATGCATAAGTCAGGTTTAAGTTTTTTGATCATAATAGCTTCAGCAAAACGGAGGCTGGTCGTATTTCTTTGTCTATTGATAACTTTGAATGCATGAGGAATGTCGATGGTGTGCCCGGTGTCAATTAGATGTCGAGCTATTGCACTGTTGAAAGCCCTGGTCCCACGCAGCCTCAAGTTTTTTGGAACGTGCTCAGAAATGCGGACATGCACTCTTCTCTCAGTTCTTCCAATGTATGTGCTTTGGCACGTACATGTAAATTGGTAGATGCAGTTGGAGCTACTAAGAAAAGAGGGCTTGTCGATTTTGGTTTGTTGAAGTGAGCAGTTCGTTTGCCATACTGTCATAAGTTTTGCTGCTGGGTAGGTGACTTTCAACGCAGAGTTTATTCTTTGATTGATTATTCCAGCGATTTCATCACCTTTGAAACGTAAGTGTAAAAAGCAGGTTTTTCTTTCTACTCCATCGTATTTTGTATGAGGATTGATTTTGGCATATTTCTGGATAAATTTCAATGGATATTCATTATCGCGTAGAACATTAGTAATCAGATTAATTTCATCATTAAGGTATTCTTTTGAACAGATTTTTTGAGCGCGGTCAAAAAGGGTTCGTACAATACCTTTTTTGTAACTCATGGGGCAGAAACTGTGGTAATTGAGATAAAGACCACTCCAGGTATTTTTATGGTGAATATGTCTATGTAATTTACCATCAGATGTTCGTCGGATCCCAACATCGAGGAAATACCTAGAACAAAAAAAGCTTAAGCACGTAATCGATGGTACTACACTGTATTGCAGATATATTGATGACACATTCCTCGTCTGCAACAATCACGATCACGCCATTAAGCTACTCGATCTATTTAATAAAGCACACGAGGACATAGAGTTTACTATGGAACAAGAAGCTGAAGACAAATTCCATTTCCTCGATGTTGGGATCCGACGAACATCTGATGGTAAATTACATAGACATATTCACCATAAAAATACCTGGAGTGGTCTTTATCTCAATTACCACAGTTTCTGCCCCATGAGTTACAAAAAAGGTATTGTACGAACCCTTTTTGACCGCGCTCAAAAAATCTGTTCAAAAGAATACCTTAATGATGAAATTAATCTGATTACTAATGTTCTACGCGATAATGAATATCCATTGAAATTTATCCAGAAATATGCCAAAATCAATCCTCATACAAAATACGATGGAGTAGAAAGAAAAACCTGCTTTTTACACTTACGTTTCAAAGGTGATGAAATCGCTGGAATAATCAATCAAAGAATAAACTCTGCGTTGAAAGTCACCTACCCAGCAGCAAAACTTATGACAGTATAACAAACGAACTGCTCACTTCAACAAACCAAAATCGACAAGCCCTCTTTTCTTAGTAGCTCCAACTGCATCTACCAATTTACATGTACGTGCCAAAGCACATACATGGAAGAACTGAGAGAAGAGTGCATGTCCGCATTTCTGAGCACGTTCCAAAAACTTGAGGCTGCGTGGGACCAGGGCTTTCAACAGTGCAATAGCTCGACATCTAATTGACACCGGGCACACCATCGACATTCCTCATGCATTCAAAGTTATCAATAGACAAAGAAATACGACCAGCCTCCGTTTTGCTGAAGCTATTATGATCAAAAAACTTAAACCTGACTTATGCATTCAAAAAGAGACGTTAATTAGCTTATCACTACCCTGGTAACCCTTTATTATTATTATTATTATTTTATTTTTATTTATTTTAAAATATTTATATTCCTCCCCTATTACATAATTCTTAAACCACATTATTATTTACGCATTTCCACCACCTGATCCTCCTAAATTATCTTAACTTTTCATATTCTATTTAATTATTATTACGTAACCTATCTTATGATTATTCAATTGCATTATTACACCACCCAACCTGGATTAACCCCCCTTCTTTTGACCTCTGACCTATTTCTAGCATATATATATATATAGTTATTATTGTAACCCAGTTATTTACACTCATTTATGTCAATTGTTTTCACTCTATCTCCATGTAAAAATTCTATCACATTTTTTGGTTTGTAAGCAGCTGACGAGAAACCTCGAAATATTATGAATTCATACTGTTCTGCATCAATATTTGTTATTGCTTTATTTGAAATGAGAAGTGTAACTTATTAATTAAACCATTACAGTCCGAGTAAGAATTTAGCAAAGATAATTTTCAATTACTCAAAGAAATCATCTCACCATTTATCGAAAATGCAACTGAAATGATGAAGAAGAATTACTTCTGATAGTTATACTTTAATTCCTTTGGTGAGCGAGTGATGTACGAAACTTACATTCTCCAATCGTTCATTTATTAAAGGACATCTGATCATGTTTATTTTGGGTTTGATATGTTGTATATAAGAATGCTATTTCATAAAATATAAGTTGTAACAAAATAAATTCGTTTACGACAAAATAATTATAGCTTTTACAACTTTTGTATTTGTGGGTAGGGAGTCATTTTCTGCATCGTAGTAGTCATAAATTTTCGAAGACTATACTGATGCTTGAAAATCCCAACTTGAAATAGGTGATTTTCCCAGACAAAAATCTGAGTATTTTTTATTTGAACGTCCAATTGACAAGCTGGTGGAACAGTGTACAAATTGAAAGCGTAACGTAGGTTCATATACCGGTCCTTTCCTTAGAATCTTGGAGCCGACGTCACTATGAATTTAAAATAAGCTTTTCTCAGACCCTTAGATCCTTGAGATACAGTTTATGATCGGTAATTATAACAAGATTTAAAAATTATTTATTGTCCTCTGAACTTTGATATTTGATTAACAGTTACACTACCAGAGTGATGAATTTATCACTAGACTTTGTAAAGTGAAGTGGACACACAAACACTTTTTAGTTGCAAGTTCGTCAGCCATAATCAACGTAAAGCTCAAGACAAATATGAGTTATCCCAAGTTGACACACTACATCACGACGAGATGAAGTTAACAAGATGTATAACAAAGAAGCTGTGATAATTTTAGTAGCAATGATATTTATAAATACCAAACATTGAGAATATGGTTTGTTCCTAAGAGGATTAAACTACAATACAAATGACGCCTCAAAACTAGAACTGTTCGCCACACTAAATTCAACACTCAAAACTGATGGAATAAGTGAAGAAACTCAACAGGAAATAAGACAAACCATAGTACTGCTAACTAGACAGAAGACAACACCTAGCTTTAAAGAAACTCAGAACTAGAGAAGATATTGTCATAGTTCAAGAGGACAAAGCATGATCTACAGTAATTATGGACAACGAAGAACATATCAGGCAAGCCGAGGAACTAATTAAGGATAAAAGCGTAAATAGATCAATGGACACAAATCTAACCGAAAGGTCAGACAACCAAATCTCAAGGGCATTGAACAATCTTGTGAAGCAGGACAAATATCAAAGCAACATAAATAGAGTTTTCAGTTTCAGCTACAACGTAGGACCAGGCACATATGTGCATCGGTCCAGGTTGCCATACCTCATTAGCACAGCAAGATGAACACCGGATTCATAGGAGTGGTTAGGTCAAAGGTGGTAATATATTGGAGAAAGATTGTATATGAGGATACAGTACAGGAAGAAAGAATTAGTTAGTAGAAAGATGTGAGGTGATTTTAATCTCTTAGTTTAAGGGAAGACAGGGAGTGTATAAACCTACGCCATTGTGATCGATTCTGAGCCATGTCACAAGAGTCTCCAACCATTAGTTACGAAAGTCACGCGGACCCCAACCAAGTAGTCTGCATCTACCAGAGGTTAGTGTCTTCAAGCACTGATGCCACGTTTTGGTTTGGCCGCCCCTTACTTTCTCCCAACCATCTCCAACACCGGTTAGCATTGCACGTCGTGGTAATCGGTGTTCGGGCATACGTAACACGAGGCCCAACCATCTCAGTCGATGAAGATTAACAACCTCATCAACTGATTTACCATCATTACCTAATACCCTGCGTCTAACCTCACTATTACTTACCCGGTGATCCCAGCAGACGCCGGCATTATCTCTGAGGCATCTGTGGTCAAATATTAGTAGCTTACGAGTGTCTTCTACTCTTAATGGATATGTTTCGCTGCCGTAAATTAAAACAGAACAAACTGCCACGCAGTATACTCGTCCCGTAATTGATAGACGGATATCTCGCCTTCGCCATAGGTGACGTAAGTTGGCAAAAGCCAAACGAGCTTTTCGAATCCGTGCTGAGGTTTCGTCAGACACCAACCCATTAGGGCTGATCAGACTTCCAAGATAAGTGAAGTTGTCAACGCGTTCGACTACTTCACTCCCTATCCTTAGTTCAGGTGTTAACGCAGACCAGTCCTGAAGCAACAACTTGCATTTAGAGGGAGAGAAGCGCATTCCAAACATTCTGGCATTGTTGCTTAGTGCTACCAAAAGACTCTGCATTTTGTCAGCGTCTTCACCAAACAGGACTATGTCATCTGCGTATTCTAAGTCGATAAGTGGACCTCCTGGATGGAGATCAATACCCGAGAATTCAGTCGACGAGAGCGTTATTTCCATCAGAAGATCTATGATGAAGTTAAACAAAAATGGGGAAAGTGGACAGCCTTGACGGACACCACTTGAGGTTGCAAAAGTAGATGACAGTTCGCCATAAACTCTGACTCGACTGGTAGTGTTCGAGTAAAGAGCCTTTACAAGGTTTATGTACTTCTGCGGTACGCCTTTTAATGACAGACACTGCCATAGAATCTCGCGGTCTACAGAGTCAAATGCTGCTTTTAAGTCAAGAAAGACCACCATTGTCGGACGCCGATAAGTATGTCTGTGTTCTAGAACCTGACGAATGGTGAATATGTGGCCGATGCAGCCACGACCAGGTCTGAAGCCAGATTGGTTCTCTCGTTTTTGCAGTTCACGAGTCTTAGTTAGGCGTCTGATAATTGTCGAGGCTAGTATTTTAGATACTATATTAGTTAAACTAATCCCTCTATGGTTGTCACAGGATGATTTTAACCCTCTCTTATATATTGGGACGATAAGTGATTGCTACCAGTCAGATGAAATAACGTCTGACTCCCAGATCTTAGCTAAAATATTAGTCAACCTAATCGCTAAAATTGGACCACCAACCTTAAAGACTTCTGGAGCTAATGCATCTGGACCAGCTGCCCTTCCTCGTTTCAGATTAACTATAGCCTTCTCAACTTAAGCAAGAGTTGGGGGACCTACTTCAATGTTCCATTCACATTGTCTGGGAATGGAGGGTAGTTGTAGAGTAGCTGAAGGCCAATTGAACTGTTCTCTAAAATGTTCCGCCTATCGTTCTAAACGTCTGGACTGAGAGCAGATGAGGGTATCGTCTTTTTTCGAAATAATCTCTTTTACACTTGACTTATTAATTCCAGTTCCTTTTATTAGTCTGTAAAGCTGTCTTGTGTTTCCTATAGTCGCCGCCTTTTCCATCTCTTTTGCTTTCGTTACCCACCACTGCTCACGGTCGTTCCTTAGACTTTTTCTTAACCTAGATCTGATTTCTTTACGCCCTTCATCATGTTCAGAACGATTGTTTGAGCATAGTTGCAGCAGACGATCACCATTATCTGTTCGCTGTGTCGGAATACTAAAATACCCACCTAAATGCCTTTCTGTTTGGTTTAAACTACCTATCTGGGCATTAAAGTCACCTGCTATGAGTACTATGTCTGAACATTTAGCTTTCTGAAGAAGTTCAGAAAGCTTTCTGTAAAATTCATCTTTCATTTCATCTGAGCTGCAGTCGGTGGGAGCGTAGGTAGAAACGACAAAAAGGCAACGACGTGTGTCCCGATCCTTGCGAGTTCTTACGTAGCCGTTTAGCCGAGCAGCACATAAACGACGGTTGACGTGGATCCACTCTAGCAGTGCTTGTTCCGCCCTCATGCTTAATGCTATTCATACTCCTGCCAATCCACGAGAGCTGGCCATCGGATCACCAGATACACGGAGGGTGTATCTCGTTGGCTCTCCGTTTTGACGAGGTGAGATCAAGTGAATGACCACACTGGAATCCTGTATGCGTGTTTCGGAGACACAGCATACATCAGTGGTAAGAGACTCTAGGGTTTTAGCCAAGGAAGCCTGTTGACCGATTTGACATAGGGTTCGTATGTTGAAGGCTCCAATGTGTAGTTTGGAGCGAGGTTTCAGTAGACCTGGGACAGTGTTTTGAGCACTAGAATCGTTGGCTATGGTGACATTTGAGGAGGAAGCCGAAAGAGGAAATTTAGAGTTAAAAGTCAATGTAGGAGGAATAATAGGAATTGAAGATGGAGGTTGATTATGAATACAGTGGTCTTGAGTGCTGTTAGAGGTATGAGGGCGGTTATCACTTCCCGGTTGCCCACACCATGGAAGGGTTCTTCTGGAGGTACCTGAAAAGGAAATTGGATTAGAGGTGGTCTTAGTGACCTGAGAGCGTGACCGCAGTGCCCAAGGGACAACTGCTTGAGGTCGGTCACACACGACCTTTTTATGGGCAATTTTTGCGTTAGCTCCGTACTTGTTGAGACCTTACCGCTGGAGACGGATATCCGTGGAATAAGGCGAGGTGTGCATTTTTAGGGTCGACCTTTTCTAACCCCACCCCACCCCTCCTTGTGGAAAGGCAGCATCGCTGTCATGCTGGTTGTCTGAAGGAAACACCTTACTGATGTCACACCTCTGTACAGTCAGCAGTACGACTACGCCTTCGGACCTTGGGTTTGTTGCATTTAGTCTTATCGCTCTTCAACCGACCTTTCTGACGTGGTAGGACCTTGAGGAACGGTTGTTCCAGTCAGTATAGCTCGGTTGCTCCATCACGATAGGCAAGCCCGACCACCACGTCAAGGTAGCAACAACGGTCGGGAGATCGTACTTCTAGGGACCAGTCCTATAGTACATATCACCAGGACGTCAAACAAGCTTGACCCTGGCCAACATCAATAGAGAATGAAATCTGACAGATAAGTACTCCCCAGACTTTACGGTAGGCCGAAAATACACAAACCAAACATCCTACTACGTCCAAGTGTAGCACTTCCCGGAACCCCAACATACAGTTTGCCAAGAGAAATCTCACGAATATTGAAACATTTAGTAGAATATGGCTTGAGAAGACAGAATGGGAAGGAATACGTGAACGTATACGGGAACCGAATATCTAGCGGAATATTTAAAATGAATGCATCTCCCCCACTATGGCCGATTCTAAACCGTATAACCCAACGTCTCCAGCCATGGTTGGTGATTGTTGTACAGACGCTTTAGTTACAAAACAGTTAAAAGGATAACTAAAGTAAATTCAGCGCAGGAAAACTTCTACAGAACCCATGTTAAGTGAAGTATATTCCGTAAAGCAAATAAGACAGAAAAAATGTGCCAGACTTGCTGGCTCTCTGAAAAGGTGGAGTATCGAGCGACAAGTCTATACTGCACTAGATGACGAACGTACTGGAAAAGCAAATATCTTTCGTTTAGTGATGACTTAAGTATGAAAAACGTCGAAAACATATTTGACCAACTAAATATGTACCGCACTGAATATAAATGAGAAACATTTGTAAGATTGGCGATATTATCTGGCTAAAAATTGAAAAAGGTGTAGTAGACTCGAATCCTATTATATAGTGGGTGAGCCACTGCTTCAATGTGATAATAATTATCAATATTTCAGAAATAAATTCAAACAATACCAGTCAAAAATTCTTACCATAAAGTCATTATTAAGTGGAAAGACCTAAAAACAAGGCTTAGTGACAGTATATAGTATATCCGAACAAACGCTTTATAAGTGACTAACATCCGTTCACACTTACTTGAGTAGTTAACAGCATAACTGTATAAGATTTATCATTTTGAAATTTATTAATTATGCTTAGACGATCGCATACTTTTGCAGTACGACCATCTAACCGTAAAATACGATGTTGCGTAGGACAGTGCAAATTGTCACTAAATGTATAATTATTAACAGGACATTTTATATCTAGAATAACTTTTTCAGCCATATCAAGAAACTTTATACTTTGTGAAAATATCAACGTGCGCGGTGAATCTCTTTGTGGATTCGATTGTAATTCAAGCAAAAACTGTTTCATCAAACAATGAAGAAACAAGAATTTCCCAGATTCTTTAATCAGTTGTTCTGATGGTGGAAAATGTATTTTATGTGAAACAATTTCATCAATATGAAAATTATCACCTTTACCATTGCCATCATCATAATTTAAATTAAGATTTAAACATTGTTCAGTGGACAAAAGACGCGGATGATCACAGAGCTTTTTTAGAATTACCAGTTCCATTAATGGTGAACGTTTTGTACGTTGCATTAATAATTCTTTTACGTTATCAAGTTGTAAAAAATCACGATATGTGGATTCTTGTATGGAACTTAAGTAAACCCATAATACAATTTCTGTTTTACGTGGCATTTTATCTTTTATCGGTACAGCCGCATTCATATTATACTGTTGAGATAAAACTTCAGATTTTGTGCGTCTCAAAAAATATGGATCTATTATACGTCGTAAACTTTCAGCCATTAATTGACCGTGTACTTTTTCAGCACGAGAAGCATCTCTTTCGCGTCCACGAGTTATTGGTTTGTCATATTCAATAGAAAACGTTTTTTGTGTACCTAAGAGTCGACCACGATGAGTTACATTGTAAAGAGACCATAATTCCTTGAGATTATTTTGTACAGCAGTACCAGTTAAGAGAATACAATGATCTGCATAAATTGCTTGAGCTGCTTTGGTCGTCTTAGCAGATGAATTTTTGACTTTATGTCCTTCATCCAATATTAAATAAGTCCAATGAAATTCTTTACCCATCCTAGCAAGAATATCACTGGCATCATTGTCAGTGGATTTTTGTTTTTTGTATGACCTTAAAAATTCAGGATTTGCATTTAAATCAGTAGACAAATCTTTTATGCTGGAAACAAGTGTTCCGTATGTTGTAAGTAGAATACCACCATGTCGTTGGATTGATACTAAACTTTTAAGACGATCCGCTCGACTGTTATCATGAAAAACAATAACACGAAGTCCTGGTGCCCATCTTTTTAGTTCAGCTTCCCAAGTAACCAAAACACTGACTGGCATTACAATCAACACTGTGCAAGAAAATTTACTAGATACGAACAGGCCAGAAAGAAAAGCAATAACCTAAAAATTAACGAAGAAAAAATATTTACTACTAACACAGCCTAAAGTAAATAAATAATTACGAACACCATATTCGAATTTAAACCTGGAGGTGAGAAATGTGAAAAAGTGATTGGAAAATAGTTTTGCTATCACTATTTATGTCATGAGTATACGTTGTTTAGCACGCCAAGGAGAATGAAGTTGTCTGTAGCAACACAAAACGTCTAGTTCAAAAACATTAAGTCTCCGTAGGCTACTATTAACTACTTAATATTTATCAATTAACCTTAGCAAGTTCAAAGAGTAAAAAACTGCATAAGACCTATAGGCACAAATTTCCACAAACCTTACTTGGAGACCGCGTAATCTAATGTTCAGAATGCGTTGAGTTGGTAGCGCATCTATCAGACAGTCAGTATTCAAAAACTCCTATATAGTTTGCTTGAAATTTTTAATACCAGTAAATTAAGACACAGTTATTACATTCTTAAAATGTTTTTAGAAACCAGAAATTTAACCTGAATGTAAAGTGATATTCTAACTCACTCTTTGTCCGCTGAGTCAAACGCTCAGACTCCGTATAATAAGCAAATACTCAACGTCACTTGATGAGTAATAACGTAGACATTTTCTTTATACAGATGTGCTCTGAAGAATTAACCAATTTATTGTTTAGTAGACCCCAAATGTTTCCGAAAAGCAGAAAGTTCAGCAAATGACAAACTTGTACACCTGGTTATTTCGTACGCACGATAGATGTCAGTATGTAAATACTAAGCAAGTCTTATATATCTATTCTGAAATGTTATCAGTCACTTACTCCATAAACTTGATAAAACCATTAGTCCAAAAGTAGTGGCCAGTACTCATACTTAATTCAGTCTCTACAGCAGTTGATTAGGTGAACTAGAACATGAAACAATGGTCTCTATTTATCCCAAGTATGAAATAGTCCGTTACTGTATATAGCACTGCATTGACTCGACATATATGTACGGTTACTCCCAAGTAATTTGAGGATCTCTAGGCAAGAGATTAAGCTTTGGTACATGAGGTGAGGATGGGATTACTTCTGGAAAAAGACGGAATCAGTAAAAAATAAGTGAACAGTTTTCTACCCAGCACTAACTAGGGACACAAAACTATTTTTCTGAAAAAGATAAGTCACTTTCGAGTTGAAAAAATGAAATGTATTAAATTAAATAACATTATACATGAGACGTTTGCTGGGTCCATTTCTAAAGCCACAAGCCTTAAATTGCAAAATACACTTACCTGAACTGTTTTACCTAGTCCCATATCATCAGCTAATATGCCGCCAGAATTTTTCTGATGTAAACTCCAAAGCCATTTAACACCGTACTTTTGATAATCATACAATTTATCATATAACAACTTGGGAACACTGAATCTATCAGCTATTTCGACCAAATCATAGGTGAGTTTAGGAGGGTCCTTTTCATCATCATGGTCAACTGCAGTAACAACATTATTAGTGTGCGACTTATAATCATAATGATCAACAGGAATTCCGTTTTCTTTCAAATAATTTTCGATCCTTTCAATTTTCCGCTTTACTTTATCGCATTGCTTAAGGTTGTAGGCTTTTTTAAGAAGACGAAGGCATTCAACATAGTCTCCAGATTGATATAACAATTTCGCTTTATCAATTAGAGTGAATTGAGTACCATCATAAAGCTATTTTTGTTCATGGAAATTTATCAAAAACGAGTACATACCTTTTCTTCCCCTGAAGCTTCTTTCGTGTTTGAAGTATCAGTATAGGTTGTAGGATGAGCTGATTCACTTCGTCCAATCTTTGATTCAATCTCAGCTGACGGAACACATAAATACGCCTCCTTCAGAAGATTAGTGCTGTCAGTTATGTTACTAGGAGATACATACTTCTCAGACTCGCAAACAAAGTACTTAGCAGCTCCCTGTTTGCATAAGCAGTAAAAACAAGAAGAATCTTACTTTTAAAGAATTTTCAGATTTTTCGGGAGCTATTGGAATGTTCTCCTTGGTATCTTGGCTTACTAAATTTTGAAGACGAACAATTTTTCGCATAAGACTAGAAGAAGGATTTATTGCGTAGGCATCCTGACAAAGCTTGAGTGACTCATGAAAATTCCCTTCCTCACATTTTAGACGCGCTTGGGTGACAAGTGATGAGAATTCATCCTCTCGACTCATCAGGAAGTGATTATTTTATTTACCGCTAGATAATCTACAAATCAAAATAGAATATTCATTAGCATAAGAAATTTAGACCGTAACGTAGAAAAACTTTAAGAAGTGGAATTCTTCACCAGGAACTCTCTACGATTACTGACGCTCTCAAACCTAAGTAAAAGAGAGTAAGCTATCCCAACCCCCGTAGAAAAGAACCTCGCTAAAAAGTTTTAGCCAGAAACAACCGCTTAGATCACAAATTCTGCAGTGAGTTGAAGGGTCTTCATATAGAAGAGTTATGACCTCTCATGATGAAAGCTAACATTCTTCGAAAGTTAGATGACCGATGTCCCTCTTAAAAACTAGAGCAACAATTAACATAGGTAAGTAGAAAGTTCAGATAGCGGGAAGGTCTTTCAAATAGCGGGGAAAATGATGAATAACCTGACCCTTATTGAGATAAGCGAAGCCCATTGGACACAATCTGGATGGAAAAGACTAACTTTGGGAGAGGTGATGTTGTATTCTGATTATTAAGAAGAGAACGCCCCGCAAGCATAAGTCTAACATATACTGTCCAACAAAAGCATGAAAAGTGCTCATAGGATGGAAAACTCACAGCTACAAGATCACCAAAGTATCCTTCAAAATAAAGTGGTACGTACCCACCGATGATAGCAGTGAGGTTGAGAAATATCAATTTTATGAGACAGCGCCCGGGAAGACCTGACCATCATGATGAGAGACTTAAACTATTTGCAGATAATCGTTTATCTCAAACTATCACCCATATTGAGAGGAATTGTTATGCCTGGAAATCCATATTTCCCCAATAATGAAAGCAAACAGATTACAATACCATCAGTTATCACTAAAAACACTTGATAAAAGGCTGTCGTTCCCCATGAAAATCATAGAATGATACTAAACTCAAGATAAAGAAGATAAATTATAAATGTAACTAGATAACTGTTATGTATTTCACACCACTTTAATTACAGTTTCGGTGGACGAATCAACCAAACTCACTGAGGCATGTTACGCATTCATAGCAACCTAACTCAACTGGGAATCATGAATGGAGTAAGAGTAGGTTGGAAGAAGACTAAGAACTTTTAATCCAAAACAAGGTATAGCTTCACTGCATGATTGACTGAGATTGGGTCATGTTAAGCTGCAGACTTCCTAAAATTAATAATATGGGAAACACTACCCCTTAGTTGAAGGTAATATTACATAGCTATAAACGAATTGTATTGTTGGTGTATTCATACTTTATTTTACCTCCGACCTAAAAGCACTAATGTTGCATTTACTTCATCCCCAAACTTAACTCCTTCGCTCGACCATATGTTTATCATTTTTTATTTGCTCACTACTTACAGTACATAAATTTGGAGAACTTCGTCTTCCATACAACTGATTCTATTCTGTTGTGTTGATGAGGTGAGACAACTTGGATCGAAACACTTATGTACAAGGTCCAACATTTCTCATGGTTGAAAATCAGATGGGAATCACACTCTGGCACACTTAGTCATCATATGTTTTATATTTGTGAGCCTTAGCATTTGACGTCCCCTCTTTTTACTCATGTGTGTTGTAACGTTTTTTATTTTCGCTGATTTTCTGTTGTTAAAAGTGAAACAATCTAAAATGGAGCAATTAGGTTAGAATTCTACTTTTATTAAGTTACCATGTGCAGAATAATAGTCATTTTGATAAAGCCGATGAAAATTTCCATCCTGAATATGCGCGATCTGGCAAACTGCAAATATCAAAAAATAACTAACTAACCAATTACGCTTCAGCGAATACACAAATGTGAGTCCTAAAGTGCAAGTATGAAATTCTGATTCATAAGCTCATTTGTCATGTATAAATTCATGTACTTGACGGGGTTCGAACCTGCAACCTAGTTGATGACATTTGAGCACCACTGATGTATCGCCCAGCCAATGACTTTATGAATTGATGGTACGTCTCGATTTGTCCGCTCCCAGCCTTTTTTCCAACCTACTACTCAATCCTGGTGTGTATATCAAAGTAGACGGTAGTTAGGTATACGTAACATACCAACCACTTATTGATAAAGGTAAGATTACAGAAATAAACTCGTAAGCAGTTAACAATAATACCTCGATACTAAACTACTATCAGGTCTCGGTACGGTGAATTTGCATTAATTACTATCATTCGATGTTTTCAGTCAACAATAAATCCTAAGACAAACTGAATTATTAATACTATAGTAACTGAGTCATAGCCTAAGGAAAACTGTCATTAGAATGGTTAACAGCAAAATGGTTTGTAAGGGTAACTCAATTTTCCCATTTCTATCTTTGTAATAGACATTCATGTACAGATTAAGCTATCACTATTTGATTTTTTTTAAGGATTGGACTACAACTAGGAGATTTATTTATTAACTTAAAATATTCAGACGAAGAGATTAATCATTTTCGAGAATAAGGTTTCATATCTAATTGAGGACAGAAAATCCTACCCAGATATAGACTGTAGCTATTCCACATATTTATTTGGCACTAATTCGCCCGCTTATACTTCTCTTCGGGAATAAAATGGAAACAAAATCACGAATGTCTTCTAACATACTAGTGCGGTGGCGAGACTAAGGACAAACTAATCAGATGTAAGATAACAGGCCTTCGATTTTGGCACGAAATTTATTCAACCACTTGGCCAAGTAGCGTTTTGGCATTGCAGTTTATGTCAGTTCGTGATGGAAACCCTAAATCTAATTCCTAAACCCAACCATCAACTGTAAATCATAGCTCTAATTACTCACACTGGTTTATAACCCTCATTTAGTCTTAATAGGTGGACATGATCAAGGTCATTTTAGCGTCGCCCAAAAGTTATCCATAAACTGGTCTCACCAATTCAGTGAACGTATTCTTTGTCTATAAATAACTGTCAATTAAAACTATGAATCAACACCGTACACAAACCTCTAACATGACCACAATATATATAGTGTGGCGCACATATATTTGGTGCCCACTTGTACCAATAGCTATGCGTTCAAATTAATTAATTAATTGATCCAATAGTCCTGCAGTCAACAGCTACCTAAGCGATAAAAGCATTCAACATATTTAGACGACTACGAAGCGAATCCACTCCTATAATTGTTAACACAACTGTATCTGAAGGTGAATCCAGATGAACGTTTACTTTAAAATGATGTTGAAGAGCATGCTAACGCACGAAAAATACCATGATATCAAACTGACAATTTGTTCTACACTTTTAACATTCAACGATCATGACATCTCATATACTCTCAAAGTAACTTGGCAGAACTTGACGCCTATTAATTTCCAAGGAAGCGCCCAGAAACCTTTAAAAAAACTTATTTTTACCCATTGATAAGGTCCGCAACTAACTATATATGCATTGTTCATGCTTAGGCCGAAAGTTTTGTTTTGCTTAAGATGAAGAAAACCCAATTATCTGTAAGGTGTTGAGAGGTCCTGTCTCAGTAGGATAATTTGCTTTAATTTTTGCAGCTTTCCTAAATAGTTTTAAGGAACGTATCGGACACACTAACAATGATTCGTAGTGAATCGATCAGCTCTACAGATAACTGAGGATCTACAATCGAGCAGGCGTTTTGAACCAAACCTATATAAAACCACTCTGTCAGCTAACTCAGTAAAAGAAGCTAGATTTAGACTATTCTTACAACAATATGCTTATTCAGAGTAAATGCTGAGTGATAAAAGTATATGAATACTGGGCAAACCTACCGTGTGACAAATCAACAGCCAACACTGGTCATCAATAGTTTGGAAGTGAAATTACCGCTTTCTCGTTTCGGCAACCTTGAGCGGCTTGGCCTAAGGCGGTCATTCCGTATTTAAAGTACCTCATGTCGGTACCGTTTGTAGGCTTGCACAACTTAATATTATGTGTGCTTTTAGAAGATCCGTATATTTCGGGAAACGCTGTAAGATATATTTCAATGTGTGTCGAAAGTTTTTGACTGTCAGCTGAAGAAAACCTCGGTGCTGCACTTTTTGATCATCAACCAATGGCTACATGTAGGTGAGTTTGTATGTTGCGTCCTTTTGTGACTGCCGTAATTTCTAGTTCATTCATTCAGTATTAGTGCTGCGTTAGTTTACTTCCAAGTGTATTTTGACTGACCTAACGGATACTTTTCGGCGGACAATCCTATCTCAAAGGCTTTTGACGTGGGATGAATCTAAAAACTCACTAAAAGTTTTAAGGAGTTCCAGAAGAGCATATTACGATAGTTTCAGATGACGTTTATTCATTTTATTCACTTACAAGGCAAGCACTCCATTTTCCTGTGATTTATCCTAACAACAATACTGAGCAGCTGCCGACTCCAGGAAAACAAACTAGTACTGGCTATTATTGTTACCAATAAAATGCATATTTACTTTGGCTATACAAATGCCCAGACAGATATTATGGAAGTTGACTGGTGTAAACAAATCTCACGATGTCTTTCAATGTGTAATCATCTCTTGCAACGTGCAAAAACGCCTGGATCACAATATCCATCGCTTGTACTATCCATTTTCCAAAACAGATCACACTTTGAATCGCGGACACAGAAAATATGCCTATAACTAAAAGCTATAATCTTGGATTACTACAAACTCTTCTGTGGAATCGTTACTTAGTTATACCTGTAGTGTTTTTAGTTCCATGTAATGTATAAACAATAGTCATTTCGGTCCTCCACAAGCTTTCGTGGACTTCCAAAGACCATCAAGAATGATCTCCGACAATTTTGTCACTTTAAATTTTATAGACGGTTGTCGCAACCTACGAAGTGATCACGGGCTTTTCGTTCCTTGAATGCAGTTTCTAGAAAATGGACTATGTATGTAGACGGATATCAGCCTTAGAAGTTTTGACGGTAAGTTGAGGAAGTGAACATTGGAGTTTACTGGCCTAATACCAGTTACCCATCATAGAAACTACGGTTGAGAAAGAAAGAACCAACTTCCTTCGTCAACGAT